TTTTTTCGCAAATATTGTGTAAATGAGGATTAAAAGAAGTACACAGTCAGAATACGCAGTAGAAAGAAACGATAAAATGGAGCAAGACCATTAACATATACGTGACGGTATGAGACAAAAGAATAGGAGAATTACTGTCCAAAAAACACGTTTCATAATACGCGAGAGAATCAAAAAAATTATTTTTATTTAATATTTCTCATGACAAACCACTTTTATTTGGTTTCAGCTAGTTGATCGTTCGAATGGAGCACAATATTTTTTATTTAATTTCAGATGATCAATTGCTCAATTCAAATTCCGGTTTTAACTTAGACTTATTCTTTTATTTTTTTTGTTATTTTTATTTTTTTAATACAAAAGTATAAAAAAAGACTATTTTGTAGAATATGTTCAATCAAGGTTCAATGCTTTCATATTTTGAGTAGGGGAATGTTCAAAGTAAGGGAAAAGAGTAGTGTCATCATATTCTCCATCGAAAGTTACATAGGCTTCAGTGAAAAAAAGTGCAAAATTGACTGCCATAGTCATGCACCACGTTGAACTATGTGAAAAACCCTCTAAAAGTCGGCCCCTGTTCTCAGCCGTCTCCAGAGATCCCAGACTGTTTTTTTCTGGGGTTATAGTCTAGGCCTAGTACTGCCCAACTATGAAAGCCCGAGCCCAAACCGGATCATATCTTGGGAGAAAATCGATTTGCAAAGATGGGCTTTCGCAAATCGTAGAAGGCTTCCGGAAATCCATTCGCCAATGGTTTAAGGCTGAAAATTTTATAGCAAGTGCAACTGACTAGGGTACATATCTGTAGAAAATTTTAGCTGGACCAGTCAAGCCATTCACGAGATATTGGCCAATATGTACACCCAATTTTTATTTTTTCCATTTTTTAGCGCTTTTGTAAAATACCCATAAAATATGAAGGAACCAAGATTTAGTAAATCGGCTTGCGCCAAAGTCTACCAAACACCGTCCTCTACCACATATGAAAAAATGATGCAAATCTGAGAACCTCGATTGAGCAGCTGTCTCTGCATTTCGGGCGTGGCTTTCATGGAAGGACTCATATCTCATAAAAAGATACACTTTTCTGTGAAATCGACTTTACCGAAATATTTTGCATTTTTCGACCTGATGGAAGATTTTGTTAAGTTTAAAAAGTAGATATTCGTGGTCTACGCTCAGAACTCTATAAAACTATATGGAAAGAACAAGAAAAAATTTTTAGTCAAAGTTCATTGGTCACTCCAAATCAGCAACAAGACTTAAACTAGTTCTGCTTCGTCTGCCTTAGAAGGATCTATCACTGTCTGCATTTCAGTAGCGAATTCGTATCATATGCGCTAAACGAAAAGTCGCTCGAGGATCGCTGTAGGACTTACGGGGGAAAATATTTTCTTGCACTCTCGAGTAAAACTGATGGCAGGCTCATCTTTGAGCAAGCTAACCTACATTTGTTCCGCG